CCACTATAAACTCACCCAATACACTCACAACTACTCACTCACAGAAGCACTCACGAGATATCCACCAGTGCCGTACACGTATATACGCAAATACGCATACATAGAGGAGCCGGCAACACCCACCACTTCACCCCCGGTCTACACGAGCGACCCCCTCCCCCACCCCCGGCCCACGCCGGGCGACCCCCACCCCACAGAGCTAGTCCCGGACCCTCACCCCTCTACAACGACCGCGTTACTTCCTCGCTACCCTTACGTGCCCCCTCCACCCTCACACTTCAATCTTCCCGACAACGACCGTTATGCGCAGCAGAAACCGACAACACTGCGGAGCAGCCTTGGATATAATGCTCTGAAAACCGAGCCCGGTCCCGACCGCGAAAACCTTTGATTTCTACTAATATAAAATCCATTAACAAATATTCATAGCCGCTGCTATTCCAGCGACGTGCCGCAAGCAGCGTGAGTGGAATGCAGAAGACGAGTGCTGCTTCGCGCTGGTGCGCGTGCGTGCGTGCGTGCGTGGCTGCCGTGTGTGTGACATCACGTTGCTATACATGTCGCACGCCACTGTCGTTCGCGTACGGCTACGTAGCCTTTACGCCAGCGCGTACGTAATCACGCACGCACGCACGCACGACGCACCACCACGCACGCACCCACACACGCACACACCACGCCACACACACAAGCACAACACTACACACACACACACATACACACACACACATCACACACTCACACGCACACACACACACTAACAACACACACCACACACACACACACACACACCGATGTAACACATTCATGCCGCTACAACCACAGGCACTTGGAACGTTTCAATAATACAATTATGGTAAATAAACACGAGATGTATTTACAACCAAGGTCTTAATGTTTCTCTACTCTCCTTCCCCTATTATTGCCGATAACTTGCTGTAAATGCTGTTAAAATGCTCCTCTACAACACACACGTACACCGCACGCACGCCGCTGTGCACAAACAACAACAATAAAGAGTTTCTTTGTTCCTGTTTACTCTTTATGCTTGTACGTGTATTCCTTATATATGTATACGGTGTGCATGAGCGCCCCCCCCCCCCACAGGAGCCGATGCAGGGAAATAATTCACCTCGCAGCGTACTCGAGTAAACGCGCGCGTTTCGTGTTGAAGCAAAACTAGTGTTTAGTAGTCAGCGTGTATCGCCGATTGGAACACGCTGCACGCGTACGCTGAATTCGGTTATATCTGACAGCTTTACGTGGTTATGTAAAAGCTTTACGTACATTATTATTATGACGGCACACGCAGACCGAATCGTTGCTGTAGCATGCGAAATGCCGGCTCATCGAATCGGCAACACAACCCCGTAACAAACACAGCCCTATCAGAGCTCAGCTCAGATGCCCTTATTATACACCTAGCAGGCCCAGAGACCCGTTCCGTCTTTTGGACGGCCTATTCTTGGATGAGGCGGATGAAATTAATGTGATAGAGACGGCATGAAGGCGGCCTTGTATAACTAACAATAGTGCTTATAAGAATACAAAATAATATCAGATTCCTGTCTTTTTGGCATTTCAGACTAAATTTCCTCCATTTTAAGGTAAGGCCCTCCCCCTAGGCGCTTCGTGCCTGCAGCATCCTCGCTTCGCTCAAATGGTGAGACTTCCAGATTTTTTTGCCGGCTAACACCCTTCATGAGCAGGCCATAGTAAATCACAAACACACCAATAGCAGATCCACTCGCTACGCAAAGTGTTGGCCCATTGCAACAGAACCATCCTCACCCACTACAATGATCATGACCCACTGAACATCCGAAATGAGACCTGAACTGCCACGAACACGTCTTTCAACAGCTACAATCAGTTATGAACAGGGACGAACAGCTATGAACAATTACGAACATTCGTGAACAACTATGAACACTTACAAACAGTTACAAACATTTACGAACAACTACGAACGTGATGAACACCCACGAACACTACGGACAACCACAAAACAGCCACGAATATCTACGATCGAGGGAACAAACGTCCGCGAGCATCCACGAACATCGAACGAACCTCGAACGAACAACGAGCGAACACTCACCGGTAACCTTGACCTCCATGGCTGCGCGGATCGGTACGTTCGTGTCGAGGCTGCCGTTCAGCGACAGTTCCCCGGTCGTCTCGTTCAGTATGAGCAGGCGCGCGTTGTTCCCGGCCGTGATCGCGAACTGCAGCCGGTCGTTCACATCCGGGTCCCGAGCGGGAACGCGACCAATCACGCCCCGCACAAAGTGGTCGCGGAAGTTGTGGAAGACGATCGCGAAGTCGTCGAGCTCCGGGCGGTTGTCGTTGACGTCCCTCACGACGACATGCGCGATCGCGTCCGTGAACAACGTCATCGAAGACGCACGCACGATCAGCTGGTACGCCTTCTTCTCGGATTCGTAGTCGAGCTCGACCCGCGTGACGAGGCGCGTCGGCTCCCCGCGGCGCGTCACCAGCGCGAACGCGTCTGCGTCGGGCCCGCCAACGATCGCGTACTCGACGACGGCGTTCGCGCCGAGGTCGGGGTCGTCGGCAACGACCTCGGCGACCGTCGAACCGACCGGAGAGTTCTCGGAGACGTAGTAGCGCAGCGGGTCGCTCGCAAACTTCGGCGGCGAGTCGTTGACGTCGGCGAGCGTCACCATGACGACGACGGAGGCGGAGAGCGGGCGCTTGCCGCGGTCCCACGCGTACGCGACGAGCGTGTACGCGGGCACGTCCTCGCGGTCGAGCGCGCGCGCCGTGCGCACGATCCCGGACGTCGGGTCGACCGTGATCTGCTGCTGTACACGTGTACACGCACTCACTCACTCACTCACGCACCAGCACATTGATTAGACACGGACAACGACTGACTGCGGGCCTAACATAAACCCCGCTTTGTAGCGGACCCAGGGCCCTCAAACCCCGCCGCCAACCACCCCCCTCCCCTAATAAAAGACAACTAACAATGCGGGCCTTTAGCTACCACCGCTCTCGCTCGTTACATGCTCCTCATTATTGGCTCTCTCAGTCTCCCTCTCTCTCTCTCTCTCTCACACACAGTGTCCGCACACTGATTAACAAGATTAGCATAATTGAGAGAGTGCTCTACTGAATGCACTCTGTGATGAAGCACCCCCCCACCCCACACCCACACCCCCACCCACCCCCCCGCGCGTGACATGCGACACGCAGCCCGTCCTGCAGCGCGACATCAGCGGCGACGGCGGTGACGTCACGAGCGACGGCCGTGACGTCATGGGCGACGGTAACGGTGACGTCACGAGCGACGGTAACGGTGACGTCATGGGTGACGGCGGTGACGTCACGAGCACGGGTGTGGCAGTGATGTGTGCACCTCGTCACACACTGACACGGCGACTTGAAAAACCACGAGCTGTCGTAGAGAAGGACCCGTCATCTTTCGTGAATGTGTTCAAGAATGTATGTGTGTGCGATAGTTCACACTCTCACAAAATGAAGTAACCATCAAAACACGAACACTAATGCACGTATAATGTCTGTCTGTCTGTCTGTCTGTCAGTCTGTCTGTCAGTCTATATCAATATATATACATACGTGCTACGCACTTAAATACTGAATATGAACACTGAATACTGAAAGCACATCTTTCCGTCGATTTTTCACGCCACATTGGTGAATGAGTCATGCATGCATGCGCCCCATGAATTGTCGTGCGCGCGTGAATTCGTACACGCGTGTGTGTCTGCGTGAGCACACGCATAGAATAAGTTATGGGAATGTTAGCAATTGATAAATATTCGCATGCTTCCACGCGTATACATCTATAGTAGATTTCGTTAGGTTTCATGGCTGCTTGTTTCAAAACTGGAAAGGTTTTATACGATCGATAAATCTGTTTATATTCTAGTCTTCCTGTCTTCCCCCGCCCCATCTCTCTCTCTGTCTCTCTCTCTCTCTCTCTCTCTCTCTCTCTCTCTCTCTCTCTCTCTCTCTCTCTCTCTCTCTCATCTCTCTCTCTCTCTCCTCTCTCGCTCTCTCTCTACTCTCTCTCTCTCTCTCTCGCTCTCTCTCTCTCTCATCTCTCTCTCTCTCTCGCTCTCTCTCTCTCTCTCTCACGCTCTCTCTCTCTCTCTCAG